GAATGTTGGGTCCAATAATTTTAGAAAACAATTGAAGAGCAATCACATGACAATTAAACATTCAGTATTCCTCTCCCCCAGTCTCCGTAAAAAGCAATCTAGGCAGCCACAAGCCATACACTTTATGGGGCACCTTTAGGGCTCCAGACATATTCCCAGACAGCAAACACTTCAAACACTATTGTGGAGAAGCCTGGTAACCTACTGTGAGAGTTGGTTACGGCACATACTCTGTCATGTGTTTATGGCTTTATTCTCAGGATCTGATAAGTTACATGTAAAGAAATGTTCACAGAATATTATGGTTAACCTCCAACATTTGATACCTTAAGTCAGAGCTTAAAATTTACGATCATTGAAGGTCCCATAGCAGTCATCTTAGCCCCAGTGTCTTGACCAAGGCCCAACATAAGTCAATTCCTAAATTTTCCGGCAGTTTCAAATTATTCTACATTTCAGTTTAAAAGCCATTAGCCCAAGTTATCCTTAGTGTCAATCTTAATGCATCGATAAGTGGAATTACCTAAAGAATGAACTGTAGTCACCAGTGCTGTTGATGCAAAGCAGCTATTGCGTTTCAGTAATGAATGAAGTGGTCTTTCACGCTCTTTGGAATCCTCTTACATGAATAGTGCTATATTCTATGCAGATAGGAAGAAATCATCCAATTTTTTGTGTTGAGAATAGAGTACTAGTAGAGAACAGACAAGTACCCTTCTCTGTCTCATGTTCTAGTCATGAAATAACACTTTCTTTGGATTGCCTGGAAGTGCTGTCTCTGTATTTTTGTATGTTTCAGTGTAATTCAATAAAAAATATGCGTCTGAAAGCTATTGGCACCTAAGTATTCAATTGCTTATATGACATGAGAGTCTCAATCTAATTTTTAGTGGGACAAAGATCGACATCAGAGAAGCCAGAATTATAACTGGCACAAAGTGAAAGCAGCAGGGTTGCGTAGGTATTGGAATGAACTACTCCCTCACACTTTCATACAAGCAAGTTTAAAAAAGAAATGATGGGCTATAGTAGTGTGCTTTTATTGCTACTTCTGTGTCCAACCCACTGTCTGGGGAACATAGATGAGTCTAGTCTCCATGGCCTTTCTCCAGTGCTGAATTTCCTTTCAGAATCTTTCAGATGTGTCCTTAGTTTTCATTCTTAAAGTCTTGGCCGGTAGACATATTAAGAGGAACAAATCATATTCATACCTTTTTTAAAAAACTAGGAGACAAGCTAATATATATTGTTAGCACTGGGCATAAAACTGGAGTTGCTAGTGAGACAAGCCTTCAGAATCTAAATCAGGGGCAGGCAATTATTTTGGGCAGAGGGCCGCTTACTGAGTTTTGGCAAGCCATCAAGGGCCACATGACAGGCAGCCCAAGGCAGATAAATATTAATTTCTACATTTTTAGGGGCCCCAGGGGCCGGATAGAATGGCCTGGCAGGCTGCATCTGGCCCCCAGGCTGCATTTTGGCCACCCCTGATCTAAATCCTCAGCATTTCAAGTCTGATTTATTTCGGGGTGCTCAACCTCTGGCCCATAGGCCAAATGAGGCACATGGAGTCAAAGGTATCTGGGGTGGGGTTCTCCATGGATTAGGAAATTGGCAGTAAATATGGCCACTCTCCCCTGATGCCAAAATTCCCAAACCCCAAACCCTGCCCACCAGCTTGGGACCAGGTAGGTCACACCCCATTCCCCAACCCCTGCAAAGCTGCATGGGGCTAGGCCATGTTCCCTTTCCCTTATGGGGCCAAATTGGAATCAGCTCAAGACCCCATCCCCTTTCCCTCCCCCCCACAGGATTGGGTCAAGCCTCCTTCTCCCCATGGTGCCAGGTTGGGGTTGGGCCACACCCCCTCCTTTCCCCCTCCCCATATGGCCAGGTAGGAGCTGGGTGCCCCCTGCTACCCTCTCCTGGATGGGGCCCTGTTATGACCACCCCATAAGGGATCGGGACCATCAGCCAGATCCAGACTGCAGACAGCCTGGGCACTGCCCATCTGGATCCCTGGAGCACTGCTGATTTATTTTTTCAAACTGTCATTATAGCATTTACAAAGGAAAAGTGTAAATAAAACTTGAGATTTTTCCTTCTATTAATTGTGGAAGGGCAGGGGAAGTGACAAATCTCATTTAAAGACTTTATTGAAGTAGCTGTGGTAAATGATGGTGCCATTACTTGTCTCTGTGTCTCATTATCATAATTTAAGTCTTTTTATTAGAAGGAACCACAGAAGACAGGGTAAAGTACAATAAATCCAGAAAGAGTTGGAAACTTAGGAAAGGGGGAGAAAATAAAACAATAGACATGGACTGGAGAAGATGTTTTATTTATTTGTTACTAGTAATTAAAATGACATACAAAATACCGAGAAGAAAAAAACCCCCTTCAATTCTGTTCAGTTATAAAGTAATTAGAACTTCATTTTTAAACTAAGTTTTGCTTTGTGATATAGAGCATGAAAATACTGCAGCCTTAGGTTATACAGTCCATGGTTTTTAGAGTAAAGCAGGCATTTAAATACATATTGTGGCTGATATTAAATATTTGGTATAATTATAAGTCAGCAGAACTTTTGACTTTCAATCAATAACTAGCAATTCATAAAAGTTCTTTGTATAAAATTTACATTTTTTTCTTGTCTATGGGGGTTCCTTTGTGATTTAAGCATAGATAACTCACTGTTCCATTATGTACATTTTAAATTCGTGACAAATTTTGCTGCAAAAAGTGTTAACCTCTACAAAAATGTTAAATAAGAGTCCAAAATATCTGTTCACTCTCCACAGAGTATAGGGACTGAACAGCTCGTGGTGAAATCTTGGCTTAATAGAGGTCAATAGAACTTAATGTCATTGACTTCATTGTAGGTCAGGATTTCTCACTTAGCTGAATGTCTGTTCACTGAACAGAAACAATAACTTGTATAAAACTTCAGCAAGGTTTCAGATTGGCTTTTCTTTTTCACCTATAAAACCAACTCAAAAAAACTCATTTAAAGGAAAACAACCCCCCCTTATAATATCAATGAGAAAGGCTTTGTATTAATAATAACATTAAATATCCATAACTTTCTGTTTAACTATTCACATTCCACACAGTGGAAATTTACCTCCTGTAATTCCAGATTTTAGTTTTTAAAATCCATGAAGAAATGTGTCAGAACTTCTACGTAGGAGGATGCCAGATGCAATTTGTATATGTCAGTAATATGAATCAATGAATTGCAATCTCTTACTGTTACAGATGGAGACCTTGTTGTGGATCTTACAGTAAAAATCTATTGAATGCAGAAATGTAGGATATGTATGACCAATAATTGAGTGAAGCATTGTGTAACAGCTGTGGCTTTTACATAAAATGACTGCACATAGTATGATATGCCACTATGCATTTTCCCTTTTGGATAAAAATATCAATATTAATAACAGAATTGTCTTTTTTACGGTTCAGCTGGATAGAAATACATTTGCGGTCATTGGACTGTGGATCACTGCGACGGTAGGTCTCAGACTCTCCTCTGTTATGAGGCACTAGGAATGAAGAAGCAGTTATACACATATTGGCCAACTGTGACCCAAGTGTACATTTTCTATGATTCTAAGAGGAAAGACAGCCAAATCACAGACTGTATCCTAAGAGTAATCAATGCCCTACTATAGAAACCTCTTGTGTTTAACTTCTTGCTCATATTAGTGATGTACCAGCAATATCCAAATGGAGGGACTGGATGCATGTACACATAGGCTAATGCACATTAAAGCACATCTTAATGCATGTTAAATCACCACAAAAATGGTGTGCTTTTGCTAATGTGCATTAAAATAGGCTAATGTGCCTTTTTCTAGTACCTTACACTGGAGGTACTAAATTTAACACTCATTAGCAAAAGTGCATTAAAGAATGTGTAGACACGCTCACTGATACTGAAATTAATCCTGTTTTAGGGCCTAATCCTGACCCAATGAAGTCAGGGGGAACAGGAATTGACCTTTAATTGATGTTAGATCAGAACTGAGGTATGCTCTTCGTTTTCCATCCAAAAGCCAAGAGGCAGGCATGTAATTTAGTATGCTAACCAACACAACCTGCCTAACCAACACAAATGAGCACTCCAGAATGAGCCAGGAGTTAAAGCAGCAGTGCAGAGGAACTATTTCTACAACTGTCCTGGGAGCAGTGTGGATAATATTGCAAGACATTTTTGAACTCCTGAGGGCAGTGGTGCAGCTAGGGCAGGGCAACCCAGGTAGCTGCCCCAGGCATCAACTGGCTGTGGAGGGTGCAGAAATAAAACAGTTGCCACATGATCATGATAGGAACCAGAAATTGCTGCTGCCCCTGGCTGTGGCAACTGCCCCAGGCAGCCACTGCAGAGTTGGGTTCTATGTTCCCTGACCTGTCTTGAACTTCTTTCCCTAAGGGAAAAAAGGAGTGATAACCTCTACAGGTGGAACCTGTGGAGTTTCAAGAGTTACTGGGTCCACCCTTATGGCTTTTTCCACAGGAGGGGAGCATTTAGCCCTTAATTGTCAGGAAATTCTCTTTACTTAGTCCAAATCCTGTTTAAATGCAAGTCTGTGGTAAAGGATATAAAAAGAGGATTACTGCTGGCAAGGCTCTGCAGCTCTTTTTCAACAAACTACATGCCTGTGGCAGAGCTAAAATAACAATAACAATGCAATGTTTACTAGTCATGGATGTCATTTCTTTTGTCTCTTGTGTGGTTATTGCATTTTCAGTCACATGATGCTTGTTTTAATTTTTGCTTTGCTCTTTATGTGCTAAATTACTGCCATTTTGGACCTGGTGCTGTCTACTGCGATTTTTGTGATACGTACATTTTCTCTGTGTGCAAGAGTGCAGATACACACAATAGAAACCCTCAGTGTGTGTACATGTGTAAATACCCATGTATGTAACTAGATACTTTTTATAGACAGAGATGTATATTACTAGCACATTACAGACACATACATAAATATATATAAAGAACTGTTATCTGAAGTATAATACCATAAATAAATCAAGAGAGTCTAGAGACATATGAGTGGATCAGGATTGATTTAGGATGTCACTGGCATTCAGAAGTGTTTTATAGCCCTGTTTATAATTTCTCTTTATTTTACATATACACATGGAAATACCTATAAATTAAAGCAAAATGTAGCAGAAGAAAAGTGTTTCTTCTTTTCCCTTTATGTTTCTCTTAAGTTCTGTCACTTCCCTTTCTCTTCTCCTTTTTTTCCTTGCACCTACTAATTCTTAGCCTAGTTCTTTCTAGCTCTCTGTAACTGCGTTTTCTCACTGTCTATGTCATCTTCCGGCCTACTTACCCCCTCATTCTGTCAAAACCACTTGTTTTTTTCCTTAACAAAAGATGCAGATAAAATTAGTACAACTGTTATTTTCAGTCAGGTTTTACCACAGGCTGTACCCCTTTTAACATTCTATTTTTATATTCTTTAGGAATAAACTCATACTTGGGATCTTATTTCCCCCATTGTGATACTTCTTTTCATACAGTGAAAGTAAATACTGCAGTGTCCAGTGAAGCATTTGCAAAAGCCACAGCTGCATTTTTCCCATTGAACAGGGAGAGTGTGAATGCTACTAAGAATCCTAATGCATGTGTGTAATATTGAACCTCTGGATTTGTAAGTTTTTAAGTGGTATTTCACACCTCAGTTAAAATGCAAACATTCATATTCTTTTGTATAGTCTCACTTACTCTCTTTACCCCTCTCTCACACATTCACAAACCCTTTCCCCCCCCCTCCCATTTCTTCCCTCCCCTAAACCATGTTTTAAGTGATTCACTATGGTTCCTTTCCATTGAGTCCACCCCAGAAGATACGGTAGTTATGCCACTCACTCTTACACTGGCACCGGCTGCCTAAGCCTAGTGTCACAGGTGAAATAGTTAACTCAGTCTAGTCCAAATCTATAGATATACACCGACACTCTTTGACCCGTGTGATCCTTTTCTTCTTTCTAGGGGGCTGAAGTTCAGGACAATTGAGTGTAACAGTCATAGCGGTGAATTTCTTAGGCTTGCAGAAGGAACAGGATTGGAAAGAACCTTCCTCTTTGTGGACATGCCTTGGGATGTAGAAAGAATTGCATTGGCCATAGCAGAATCTGTTGATAATGGTACGACTGTTGCAGCCTTCTTCATGGATAGTTTGTTTGAGGGGTTGAGTTTTACACCAATCCCGCTTTAGGTATTTTCGCTCAGTGACATGTAATGCCTCCTGACTAGACTCCAGCACCTCTTCAGCTGGCATTGATGTGCCCTTTCCCCGATCTCGGTTCCTAGAACCTGATTGCTGCTGTGTCTGTGTTTGCTCTGAATCATTGGGCTGATCCTTGTCGGGAGGAGGGATAGCACCTTGAGATCCACGGTTCCTCTTTCTTCCCTCTCCTGTGGGTAACAGAAGTCCAAGCAGAAGAAGAAGAGCACCAACAGCATATACTGTTCGGCCCATCCTATGTAGAAAAGGGATGAGAAAATACAACATAACTTGTAGATTTCATATAAAATCTATAGAAATAAAGAATACAATATGTTTTCTGTTCTAAGGAAAAAGTATACCAAAGAAGTCATCTTCCCAGTTGTTCACAGCTGGAGACATACTTTGGAATTATGTGGAGTTGTACAGACCTATAAAATATAATGGCCTGAGTTCACAGGCAAAACTAAATAAGGCCTTGTACAGACTTTCAATTTCTCCTGGGAGAGTCACTGCTCTCCCAGAAGAAACCATGAGTGTACAGATGTTCAGACTTTTTTTCTCAGAGTAAAAATAGCCAGTCCAGGAGAAAAACAACCTGAGTACAGTTGGGATAAATTACTTCTAGGAGACTTTTTCCTGGGAAAGTGAATGTCTGTAGAGGCTGACAACACAGGCTCACCATGGTCTGTCTGGATTAGCCAACAGGGGATGCCCTATGCACTGCTGTCATCTGTTGCCAGGCACACTAAGGGAATCTGCAGAATATACCAAGATGTGCGCACAGGCCTTCCCTCCTCCCCCACCAGCTGCACAGTGTCAACACTGCAAGCTCTCCACTCTTCAGGGCCTCAGCATTTGAATGTCTATACATGTGGCTCTGCATAAGTTTTTCTACCATGAGAACAAACGTGGGAGAAGGTTCTCTCAGGTTATTTGTATTTGTGTACACAGCCTAAGTCTAATTTGCAAGCAGTCTAATTTTCTGTTGCATACATCTTTTTCCACTCCCTTTCCCCAGGCACATTATACTAATTAAGGAGCCTGATTCTCCTATATAATTTTGACACTGATGGGGTTACTTTACAGTAGAAAGGTGCTTGTACCAACCCAGACTCCAGCACACAGCATCTCTGCATTTGGCCAACTGAGGCTCAGTGCAACAAAGTCAAGGTAGAAACCTGCATACCATGAAAGGCAGTTAATGCAACCAAATAAAAAAAACAGGGCACTCTCTCTCAAAGTGTACTTTCTCCCAGGTTCTTCTGGCTTCTTGGCATGTTATACAAAGAAACTCCTTTATACAATAGTAAAAAACTCTATACACCTCTAAATTTTAGTCAGTACATTTAATATGATGTGGCACTCTTATAAATGAAGACTGGTATGTCTTCCATCATTTACATCAGTCCTAAAGGTGTACTTTATCTAATTTTTCCAAGCAGGTGGATCAGACGTGGACACTAAACCTTACTTGAACTAGATCCGTTTCGCCATCCACCCATAAAAAGAAATTCAGCAGCTCTCTCTCATCTTCCAAGGATCCACAAGCTTAGCATTCCCTGTATTAGATCAGGAATTGAAGGATGTGTCAACAGCCTGGGACTTGTTTGAGTTGCAGGACAGAAGAGTTTGAAAGAGGCCATCAGAAGTCAGAAAATGCTTCCACAAAAGACACAAGCATAAAAATTGCTAAAAAGAAGAAAGATGCTGGAACTTGGAGAAAAGAGCACAGGTTACAGAGAAGAAGAGTTTGGAAGCTGCAACAGGAAGCCACTCTGTTTGCATATGGCTGGACTGGTAACATCTCTGTAAATAGTTTTCTTAATAAAGAACAGATTAGTATTAGAAACACAAAGTCCTGTTCATGTTATTAGACAGCAAGAGAGGTATACCCCTGTGATGTTCATTCTGCTTGCCCTGCCTGAAGCCAAAGTAGGTCAAACAAAAAACCCAACACACGCCTACATTACAAGGGTTATCTTGACAGCCATGAAAAGGTAAAGGCTGAGTATCACTGTCAGAAAATATGTGTATTAGTTTCCTAGTTACTGGAACTTTTCAAACACGTGGAAAGCATTTGTTTTAATGTTCACAAGCCACCCTGCTCAAGGAACAAAGGGACTGGGAATCACTGATTTTGTTTGGGAAAGTGCCATAGAAAGTCTGAATTTATTTAAACTTGTTTGGTTAAATAATCCTATTATTTTATTTCAAGTGTTAGTGTACAATGAATTTCAGACAGGCACAATGAAGAAGTATATTCATTGAGGTTTATGTTTCAGTCTGTGCTTGTATTTGAAAGGAGATGTGTACATAAATGGACAGATATACTACTAAATATAACATTATTACTGGATCCTAAGGAAAATGTGGAAGGGCTGTTTTCTAAATTTAACTACAATATTAAATATTCTGTTTAGAACATTCAAGTTTAATAACCTTAAGGCTCTGACACAAACCAAGAAAAAAGTTGGGAATTCTAATTGAAGGCTAACCATGCCTAATTTCAAGTGTTAGTTTGGACGTCACATTTCTTAGCTTTCTTCAGTTTCTATTACAACCTTAATGTTATTTAAACAAGTTTTGTCTTTAAAATACTTTTTGAAAACTGAAACACTCATTTTCTCAGGAGACCAGAATGACTCCATCCAAGTCTACTCCCATCTCTTGGGTGACTGTATACCCACACTGTATTTAGAAAACATTTAATGTGCATGATATTTACTCAACATGGTGCCAGAGCCTTAACAAAAACCAAGGCATTGCCTGCAATAGAAAAAAAAAAAAAAAAAAAACTAGTTCTTAAGCAGCACCAGGAAACTACGGGTATTTGCTTAGTACTACATACTTCCATTAATTTTAGTGCTAGAATAGACCCAGAGTATCATATTTATATTTAAAATCTGTCATTTATATTTCACCATATTTCTTTAAGACCCTGTCAATGATAATTCCAGTTTGTCCTGCGGGGCCAAATCCTGCAAATATTTGCTACCACGTGTAGTCAGTTACTTCAGTGGGATTGTTCACAGTTGTGAATGCTATGGTCTGGAATCAGGAAAGCATCTTAATTCAGAAAAGTACTCAAACTAGTGCTCAATGTAAGGTAATATAAGTGCTGACCTGATATGGGGTCTGCGTTTGGTAGCAATTCTTTGCCGGATCAGACTTTCTAAGGTTGTGATCAACACTGTAAATGCGGCTCATTTCCATCCATCCACCAGACAAGCTCTGATTGCCAGCACATACAAAAATAGAGACCTAGCTCTCTAGTCACTCTTTCTCCTACCCGCTTGCTTGACAGAGAGAGCATCTGAAGTGCAGTGTGTACATTATGCATAGGACTTGGACCCAATAAAATGCAGCCATGTGAAGAAGGATTATTCTTCCACATGATCTCATGTTTAGACCAGAACCTTTTAATCTTCCATGAACCAAGGTTTCACTGAATGTTTATTTTTATCCGATTCCTAAATTCTACTCATGCAGCAAGTTGGAATGAGTAAGAGTGTGTAAAATGAAGAAGCTAAATTGATCATTTCATAATTGACATTTGCTCAAAAAATCTTTTTTTAAATAAGGGGGCTGCATAAGTCTGCTGAAGCTGTGCACATGGGTTATGCAGCAGGAGGTGTGAAAATGAGCTATACAGAATTGGGCCCTGAAATTTTAGTCAAATTTCTGCAACATTTTCAAGAGAAAGTTATACAGCACTCAGGCTATTGCAGAAACACAGGCACAAACAAAGAATTGAACTGCAAAATCTCCTTAGCAAGTTGAGGACTACAACAACAACAAAAAATGTTCGCTCCAGCTTCCTAATATCAGCCCTACAACATATATTAAGATAATGTAACAAAATATTTGAAGAGCAATTCCTTCTTTGTGTAACTGCCACAACTCAAATACAGAGTCAACTGAAAATCTTAAATCCAAGAAAAGTTTCTCTCATTGTTTTTCACAGAAGCAGGATTGAGTTCTAATATTAATCTTTTGCATATATATGGTACTTTAGACTTTCTACAGCTAAATCTGCCACAACAGTTCAAAGAGCTTCACAGATGAGCCAAAAAGCATCAGTTCTCTAGAAATAATCTATAATTCCTCTATTTTACTATTATAAAAGTATAACTGTAAGATTTTTAGTTTACATGTTTCTGACTACAGCTTGAAGATCTCAAGCAATCAATTTTTCAAGGTACTTTTGTTTCCATTGTGAGCTTGTGAAAAGTACTAAAATAGAGCAATGCAGCTTGCTCTATTTTATCATATGTGAAAATCATACGTGAAATTCTTGTTCCAGTGGCAAAATTCTTATTGACCTGAAGAGGCCTGAAATTTTAGCCGCTCAGTGTATCTAACAAGAAAATACTATAGCTAATTGTGAGCTTAGGCATTTACAGAGAGATCATGAAAAATTCGTCACAGAAGATGCCATCTAGATTTACCAAATGGTTCTCATCTAACAGCTAATGAATCAGATCACAACTTCTTGTCTATTATGCAAATGAAGGAAGTTTGTACCAGTTTCACTATTTGAGAGCATTATATCATATATAGTAATATTCCTGCATAATTGTCAATGATCCACAGTTTAAGTGCCAAACTCAGAAAAGCCAGGGAAGAGGCAGTCCCATGGAGATAAGGAGACATGATATTTATTGTGGTCAGAATATAAAACCAGCACCTATATAACAGACACAATAACTAGCACCTGTACAGCAGACACAATAACATTTCAGGCAAGTTCTTTTTTGATCTTAGTTTTTGGAAAACAGCTTCACAGAACGTCAACCTACTTTTCTAGCAGCAGCTGTAATAGAACTGGAGAGTGAGAGGGACACTTCCGGTTAAACTGCTTTTGAAAATTTCACTCTTCTGAGAAAAGCATGAATTTGGTCTTCTGCTAGCCAATGTGGCCTCTCCCAAGAGAGCTGTCGCACTGATTTCAACAGATTTTTGGAAGTGAGGCTAAAGGGATTTGGCCACACATTCGTGGGAAGTACTGGTAGAATTTTATTCTAGCGGATGGTAATGCATATTCAGAAGGGTAGCGCTGTGGAAAACTATTTGGGATTCTGACTTGCACAGCACAGTAAAAAGCAAATAGCTTGGCATAGCTACTCCCTGAATTTTACGAAGAAACAGAAGGATCTGGCCATGGGTCCAAGCAATGGCTATGTGTGCTTTGGTTCCTTCTCAGAAACCCAAAAAAAAGAGGGTGAAGGAAAAGCCAGAAATGGCTCCTCAATAGTTCTGAGTATCTGTCAACTTGTAACAGCCAAAGGCATCTGGGGATAAAGATTCAGGGCTACTGGAAACCCGGAAGTCACCCAGTGCCTTTCAAAACAGAACTAATAAGCCTGGCACAGACAGACAGACAGCAATTAAAGGTCACTTAATCTGAAAGGATATATTAATACATCTTAATATATAGATTTAAGATGTTTAATCTTTGGTACCACTGAGTGGTCGTTAAATTCCCTCTCTCTTTTCTACCTGGCACACAGCAAGGCTAAGCGCATAAGACTCCCTCAGCTTAAGTGTATCTATCTCGCTGGCAGAAAAAAAAAGGAGGAAAGAACAGCTTCTCCGGGAGGGGGGAGGGAGGTGTTTGCAGTGTCCTGGGGGCTGCTGTGGCTGAGGAGAGGCACTTGCAGATGCCCAACTTGAAGGGATGCTCTTGGCTTCGCCGCCGCGCCCCACTTGAGCCCCATTCCGGCCCCAGGGCTCCCCCAGGGCGGGCGGCCACGGCCGCTGCCTCGCGTGTCCGGCCCGCAGCTGCGGGGTGCGGGCGGCGGTTCCCGCCAGGGACCTGCCTCATGGACGACAAGACCCCGGCAGAGGGCCCGAGCGGGACTTGCGGGGGGGCGAGGCCGCCGGTTCAGTGAAGCGGGGCCATGGCGGGCGGGGCGGGGCGGGGCAGGGCGCTGCCAGGCAGGTGCCTGGTACCGGGGCAGCTCCGGGCGGCTCCTCATGCCAAGCCAGAGCCGCAAAGGCCCCGAGGATCCCGCCGG